CTGGCAGCGTTCAACCTTGAACGCCCGCCGCGGGGTCGCCGCCGGTCGACACGACGCGAACCTACCGCACCCACAGCTGCTGGAGGCATGCCCTGATCCCTGGGGAGCGGTGTGCCTGGACGCTCCCCCGCCCCCAGGGGGCGAGCAGCGGTCCACATCCACCACTCCCCAAAGGTCCTCGAGAACCCCCAGGGCAAGACTCCGAGGCTGTGGAGATGGACCTCTTCTGGCGGTGGACCTGGTAGGGCTCCCGCCCGGAGTAGTCCATGGAGCTCGCCTGGCATCGAGAGCCAGGACATCACATCTCGGAGGCCCGTGGACGCTGCCCCCGCCAGCGCTGGACCTCCTCCCCTACGCCCCTCCCAGGCGCGCAGAGCGCGCAACAGTGGCGACGCCGGAAGGCGCCGCCACTGGCGTGGTGAAGGGGGCTCCGGCGCTGTCGGGCAAGCCGTCCGCGGACGCCAGGAGCTGGTGCTCAGATGGCTTCCCCGCTCTCGGAGGGAGGACGCCACCCGTGCACCGAGCCCGATCTCCCAGCCAGGGCCCGCCCTCGGCCCAAGACAGGTGCACACGCTCCCGTGGCCTGGCCAGGGGGGGCATGCCCTGCGTCGCTTGCAGTCGCGCCTCGCGCGTGCTCGAGGGGCGAGCACCGTCGCGCTCTCGCGCCGCCCACCGGAGAAGGGCGACCAGGGCGACTCTCGCTCTCTCTCTCTCTCTCTCTCTCTCTCTCTCTATCTGGGGCCCCCGTGGGCGACCGAGGTACGCCCCGATCCTGCGCCCACGATCAGAGCATGCCCGGGATCAGCGTAGGGTGCTCCAGGCCGGCTCCAGGAGGCCACGGATCCGAGAAGATTGGCACCTCTCGGGAGATGGTATATTCTCTTCTGACGATATACCAGACCACCCCACCCCAACCCAACCCGAAGACCCGAATTTCGGGTTGGGGGGGGGTAAGGGTTCCACATGTGTTTGTTCGATGTTTCCCGACCCCCCCACCCACTGGAAATCAAGGGTAAATTTGAGCCTTCGGGTTGGGTTGGGGTGGTTTGGTGGGTGGTGATCTTCTTTCCAACAACGGTCTTTACCCAGGGGGGGGAGGGTTGGGGCCCCAGGTGGCGGCAACGCTGTGGCGGGTGTGGGGCGCGTCGGGGCGGGGGTGCGTGCGCTACCATCGCCGCAGCATGCGCGCGAGCACCAGCATGTAGGGGGGCGGTCTAGGCCCCCCCCCCACGTGCAGTGTAGGGGGCCACATGCGAACCCTACCCCTACCCCCCACGATTTCTGAGGGCGAGGGTGGGGTTCACTTCGTTCGGGAGCTGCCGAGCAGAGTGAACCCCACCCTCGCCCTCAGAAATCGTGGGGGGTAGGGAGGGTTCGCATGTGCCCCCCCCCCCCCCCACGTACAATGGTTACCGCCACAGGGGGGGAGAAGGGCTTGGCCCGGGTGGCGACCGCGTATACGCGCCAGAGGCAAGACAAAATCAGCCACGTGAGTGCCACCAGCCAGCCCCCCAGGCCTCGGACTCGAGAAGCCCGGCACTCCCTCGGAGGGGCAGCGCTCTGGGGGCAGGGAAGGGGTGTGGTGCAGAGGGGTGTGGTGCCAATGCCGGATCTGGCGAGGTTGCCTATCGTAGAGAGCACCGCCTTGTCCACGATTGGAACCACACCCCTTTATGCCACACCCCCTTCCGACCTCCAGAAGCGCCTGCCTCAGCGGAGCTCCCCCGGCAGGCGGTGGATCTTTCTATGCTTGGGCCCCCAGGAGGCCCAGACTGCATCCATATCCACCGCCCGCTAGGGTCCTAAGACGTCGGTTCCCCAGGCGGCGGATATGGATAAATCCCCGCCTCGATCTGAAGCTGGCGGGCGACGCGGGCGGCCTCGAGGTACCCTCCCGGCGTTCCGCGGGCGTCCGCTGGCCGAGACCCCCAATGGCGGCGCGGACAAGGGGATAGCGGAAGGGGGCATGCGTCTTGGAAGGAGGCTGCTTATCAGAAAGGGCCTCCCTGCCTCTACAGACAAGGCCCGCGCCTTCTCAGAAGCAGGGGTGCTTCTAAGAAGCCTTCCCCCCTCCCCCTATACCCCCCTCTGCGCGTGGCCGAGGTACCCCCTGGCGCTCCGCGGGCTTCTGGGAGCGGAGACCGCCCCCCACCGCTCTGCGGCCCGCCTCGGCATGGGAGGAAGCGGGTCCCGAACTCAGCCGTCCCGCTGCGCAACACGCAACCCGCAGCGTGTTGACACGGAGCTCAACACGCAGATTGAAAACGACTCAGGACAGTCAAAAAACTGCTCGGGGATAAGAGTTCGGTCCCAGGGAAGGGGTCGAGACTGCTTGGGGCCCCGTATAAAAAAAGAGTCATGGCATCGGATCTCTGGGGAGCTCAACACGCAGATTGAAAACGTGCACCTGGCGCGACACGTTCGCCAGAACGTGGGCCGGCACGCCGCGAGCCAACACACAAAGTGTCAACACGGACGTCTTGAGCACGGCACGTGAGGGGTTTCAACACAAGCGAATCGAGGCAGCTAAGGTCCTGAGGGATACGGGCCCTGGGTCCCCGGGTTCTTGTCACAGCGTCGACCCCCAGAGTTCTGGACCCCTTCCCCGGGGCCGGCTTCTCATCCCGCGTCGTTCTCCGACGGCCCCGGAGGCCCCGTGGGGGCCCCCCGAGACCGAAACTAGCGAAAAGCCTCCCGCCGCGATCTCTTCACCACGCGAGGAGGGTCTGGGGTGGAGGGCCCCGAGAGCACGAAGGCAGCGACAAAAAACCTGCCTGGCCCGTGGCCCCCGTGGCGCCCGCCGCCCGCCGCACGCCGCCCTCCGCGCGCCGCCCCCCGCTGGGGCGAGGAGGGGCGAGGCCGGCCCTGCCCCGGGCGCCCCTCGCAGGCGTGGCTCGCCCCTCGGGGCGCACGGGGGCAGGCCGCCCGCAACAGGAGCTCGGGCCGCCCCGGTGCGCAACATAACCAGCCTCGAACTTGTCCCTATCCCTAAGATGGGCGAGCAAAAAGCGAGGACAATCTTAGGGATAGGCCCTCAGAAACTGACCCCGCCCCGGACGCCCCTCGCAGGCGTGGCTCGCCCCTCGGGGCGCACGGGGGCAGGCCGCCCGCAACAGGAACTCGGCCGCCCCGGTGCGCAACATGCAGCACGTGGCGTGTGTTGGCGGCGCGCACAAGGCGGTGGAGGGAGGGGGGAGGGCTTCTTAGAAGGAGGCTGCTTCTCAGAAGGCGTCGGCCTTGCGTCTTAAGATAAGGCCCGCGCCTTCTGAGAAGCAGGGGTGCTTCTAAGAAGCCCTCCCCCCTCCCCCCACCCCCCTCTGCGCGCGGCTGAGTGTGGACACGGACCCGGAGATCCAACGTGCTGAAAAAACATCGAGGCGGAGGTTTTCGCAGCTTTCGGCCTCCAGGGGCCCTCGCCGGGCCCCAGGGCCGTCAGAGAACGACTCGGGATGAGAGTTCGGTCCCAGAAGGTGTCGAGACTTCTGGGGGCCCCGGATTGAGAAAGTCAAGACCTCGGATCTCTGGGGAGCTCAACGCGTAGACTGAAAACGTAAGTCTGGCGCGATACGTTCGCCAACAAGGGTACCAACACGTGCCGAGCCAGCACGCAGCGTGTCAACACGGACGTTTTGAACCCAGCACGCGTTGCGTTTCAACACCGGCGTATCAGTGCAGCTAGGAAAATTTATGATCCAGACGACTATCACTTAGGAGCCCTGGGCCAGCTTTCCGAGGTGTCTTCGAACAGACCTGGGCCACTCTGTTGGTTCACGCTGGTGGACCGAGCGTGATTCAGAAGCTGAACCGGCTTTCCGGCAAGCTGGTCAAAAAGCGGTGGCCCAGTCTTTCGGGAGGAGGTGTTTGAATCAGATGCTCGACTGTCCTAGCAGTTGCCCGTTGCGAGAGTGATTCATCTTGGGCAGTGGCGACTGCGGCGACGACAAGCGGGCACCTTCCACCCCGCGGACTCCTAGCGCGACCCCCGTCGGCCTGGACGAGCGGGAGAGCTTTCCAGAGGTCTCCTTGGTTGAGAGTTGGCAGCGTAGTATCACCACTTCAGGATCAAATCTCTTCCCCTGCAAGTTCACAAGAAAGAACTCGCTCGCGGCCACTGTTACTCCATTCTGACTTTTTCCCGAAAGATGCTACAATAACTAAATCTCTACCAGGCGACTTCATGTCTTGTGCCAAGAGGAATAATATTTCGGGACGGGAATGCAGTGCTATGTGCCTCTGCTGGAGACATACGTCCGAGCCGAGCATCTGGCACAAAATCTTGCAGCACGTCGTTCCCCGAGCGGTATGGCCAAAAAAGCGCCCACCGCGGAGCTCACACTGCAAGCTTTCCGAGCGGGCGCGTCGCCCTTGCCCAGCCGACGCACCTCCGGTGAGGGCAGTGGACAGGGCACCAGTGGATATGGAATCCCGGGTCTGGGAGCCAGTGGAACTCCAATCGGAGACTGGCCATGGACGTCACTGCCACCCTCATCAAAAGAAGGAATCATCATGGCTCCTACAATATGCAGGCGTAGTGCCGACCGCAACTGGTGCCGCCCCCCGCTCGCCTCGAGCGGGGCGCCGAAGCCCAGGCGATCCCCGAAGAGGCCCGGGCCGGTGGCCACACGCGACGGCGGCTGGAAGCCGAGGTCCAGATGCTGCTCGCGGTCGAGGGCGGGGCGGGACCCAGAGCTGCCCCACCTTGGAGGGGCTTCTGCAGCGAGGCTCGGCGGCGCGGAGGTGGGCCTCCTGCTCCTCCTAGCTTTCTAGCGTTGAGACCCCCAGGATGTGACTGCGTGCTGATGCACATCTCTGGTCAGGACAACTCGCCTGGTTTTTGCAGGGGCTGGTGGGATACGTGAATCGTCAAGAATTTGCTGAATCAACCGCGCTGGTGCGCTACTAACCACCTAACCCCGCTTGTCTCCACATGCTACAAAAAGCACAGACACAATCAATCGTCAACCCCCAGGAAAAGATGGGAAAATATAAGAAGTGGGGGTGGAGACGACAAGCCCGAAAATATTGGATAATATGGGGAATCCTGGGACGTGGGTCCATCTATTTGTGTGTCCCTGGGCCCCTCTGTGTTAATCTCCCTATGACCACCGCTCCTGCGAGGGCATGGCCTGCGACTCCGTCCTGCAGGAGCTCGGCCTCAGCCTCTCGCCAGCGTGGCTCTGGAGGTTCAGCTCCTGGCAGGGGTCCACGACGCCGCCCTGCTCCTCGAGGTCGCCATGCTCCAGGAGGCCGCGCTGCTCCTTGGCGGTGCGCAGAAGGGGGGGAGGCTTCTTCGGAGGAGGCTGCTTCTTAGAAGGCGCGGGCCTTACATCTACAGACAAGGCCCGCGCCTTCTGGGAAGCGGGGTGTTTCTAAGAAGCCTTCCTCCCTCCCCCTACCCCCCTGTGCGCGCGGCTAAGCTCCAGAGGGTAGTGGCCCGAGTCACTGGCATGGCCTTGCTGAATCTCCTCCGGAAGCGCCATGGGGCGCAAGACCTGATCGGGAGCCGCGCGGACGAGCGGCCGGAAGCGGGGGTCGTGGTGGTGCGCGAGGCTAAAGCCCGAGAAGTGCCGGAGGTTCGCTGCCCGACCCTGCAGCGCCGCAGGCACGAGCTTCACCTTCTTGGCGCCGAGGGTCCCGGGAAGGAGTGGCTCGTTCGCCCAGCGGCGCTCGAACTCAGCTGCGGCGGAGCGGCTGAAAAAATTGATGATGGCATAGCCCAGGTTGCGGTCCTCGCGGGCGATCGCTCGACCCTCTCAGGCCCATGGGGGGGCCAACAGGCAGTCAGAGACGAGCCGCGGCCTCACGAGAGGACGGCCGAGGTCGGCGACTGCGTCGCCCTCGCTCTGGGTTCACCTGACTGCCCGCAGGCCTCCCGCGGGCCTCTTCGAGGGCGCAGCGGCCGCGCGCGGGTCCTGGTTGGGATTCCACGGGCAGTAGAAGAAGTCGAACGCCCCGCGCATGCACTCCGTGAGGTCCTCCAGCAGCGAGACGACTGCGCCCTGCGTCAGGAAGCTGGGCACGTTGCTGATCACCAGAGTGGTGCACTGCCTCGCTGGCGCCGCCTGCCCCCTCCGGCGCCGCACGCCGCGCACCGACATCCCGTCCTGCACCGAGTCCCCGGAGCCCTCCGGCGTCGAGGCGCAGACCGACCCTCCTCGCGAGGCGCTCGTGGCGTCCCGCGTGGACTGGTCCGAGGACACGTCGCGGCCGGCCCCCTGGTCGGCGTCGCCCGCCTTCCCGGCCCGACCCGGCGGCGAGGCCCGGCCGTCGCCGTGGGCCGCGGGGCCGGGCGGCGCCGGGTCCCTGCCGCTGGGGCGCAGCGGGAGCGGCGGGTTCACCGCGCCGGGGCTCGGCGGCCAAATGGCGTGGATCTCGCTCGGTCTGTGGGCGAAGCGGCAGGCGGCGCCGTACTTGCAGCGCCCGCTGCTGGCGAAGCTGCACATCTTCGTCTTGAAGAAGCCCGAGGTCGTGCGCAGGTCGCGCTCGTCGTGGGCGAACCTGCAGCCGAGGCTCGTGCAGTTTCCCGTTGCCAGGAAATCGGGGCACATGCTCGTCTTCCCCAGGTCGGGCTTCTCCCGGATCTCGGACACGCTGTGGGCGTATGGGCAGCTGGGCCCCTTCACGCACTTGTTCAAAAAGAAAAACTTGCACATCTCCGTCTTCACCAACTGCTTGACATGCTTCTCCCGGAGGTTCTGCCTTCTGAACTCATCCGGCACCGACATGTGCACTCGGTGATCGACGCGCGGTTGAAATACTACCGCAGGTCTAGGGCACAGTTCCCAAATCGGTGGCCGCACGGCCTTCCAATATGAACTTGATATGGCACGAGGGAGAGGAGAGGATGATCAGGAAAGGACGGAAAAGGAAGCAGGAGGAAGGGAAGGACGAGGATGGGCGAAGAGGACGAGGGCCCAATCCTTGGGGGCGCAAGGCTGTGAACTTTGGAGCTGGCCTGCCGTGTCGTTGGCTTCTGTTGCCTCTCGTATCTCCAGGCTTGCCTCCCTTCTGCTGTCTAACAGTGGCCGCGCTGGCGGAAGAGAAGGTGGAGAAAGAGGAGGAGGAGGAGGAGGAGGATGAGGAGGAGAAGGAGGAGGAGGAGGAGAGGAGGAGGAGGAGGAGGAGGAGGAGGAGGAGGAGGAGGAGAGGAGGAGGAGGAGGAGGAGGAGGAGGAGGAGGGGGAGACGGAGGAGGAGGGGAAGGAGGAGGGGGGAGGAGGGGCGAGGAGACGGAGGAGGAGGAGGAGGAGGAGGAGGAGGAGGAGAGGAGGAGGAGGAGGAGGGAGGAGGAGGAGGATGTGGAGGAGGAGGAGGAGGAGGAGGAGGAGGAGGAGGAGGAGGAGGAGGGAGGAGGAGGGAGGAGGGAGGAGGGAGGAGGAGGAGGAGGAGGAGGCGAAGGAGGCGGAGGAGGAGGAACAAAAAACAAAAACATGGGTGGAGGGGCTCAGCCTCCTGGCCGCACCAGGCTGTCACGGGAGTCTCGCAGGGGCGCCCTCGGGACAGCCAGCGGAGAGCCCAAGAAGTCTCGAAGACGGCCCCGAGGGGGCTCCGAAGAGGGCCTCGGGAGCGCAAGGCCGCCGACAGTGACCCCCGACGTGCCTCTCGGATGGCCCAGGAGGGCCTCAAGACGCCTCCGAGGGACCCCAACCATATGCAGCCGCGAGTGCCGCGAGGCAATCGAGAAATGGGAGCGGGGCAAGCAGAATCACAGGCTGGCGCGCACGTCCTGGCGGGGCGGCGCCATGCGAACAACGCCAATGGGGCCATGGGCGGAACCCACTTTATGGAGCCACGAAACGTGTGAGGGGTGCGCCGAACTGAGGGCGGGTGCGCCATGCGAACCCTGCTTGCAGGGCCTCAGGCGGAGCTCTCCGTGTCGTGGCCGCGGAACGCGTGAGGGGAGTGCCGAGATGAGCGGGGGCCCCCCATGCGGCCGCGCCCACTGAGACGCTAGGTGGAGCTCCCTATGGGGCCACGGACCGTGCGAGTGGTGTCCCGACATGAGCGAGGACCCCCCATGCGGTCGCGCACACTCGCGCACACTGAAAACGTCGAGGCGTGTGAGGAGTGTGCCGACACGAGCGGGGATCCCCCATGCAATCGCGCCCACTGGTACCGTACGGGAACATGCCTGTGGAACCACAAGCAAGTGGAACATGCCTGTGGAACATACCGTGTGCAGTGAGCATTGGCATGCGATTGCTGATGATGGTTATGGTAATGATCCAGATTAGGATGTGGACGACGAGGATGGGGATGAGAACGAGGATGCGGATGACGAGGAGGATGAAGATGAGGATGAAGATGAGGATGAGAAGGAGGAGGAGGAGGAGGTTGATGATGTTGTTGGTGCGGTTGCTGATGCTGATGATGAAAATGGTGGTGATGATGATGGTGATGGTGATGGTGGTAGCGATGGTAATGATGGTGTTGATGGTGGTGATGATGATGATGCTGATAATGGTGATGACGGTGATGATGATGATGATGATGATGATGATGATGATGATGATGATGATGATGATGATGATGATGATGATGGTGATGACGGTGGTGATGATGATGGTGATGGTGGAAGAATGAAGATGATGATGATGTGGCGACGATGGTGATGCTGATGTTGATGATTATGATGATGCTGATGACGATGATGATGGTGATACTGGTGATACTGGTGATGGTGATGATGATGGTGATGTTGCTGATGGCTATGGCGATGGTGATGATTAGGTAATGATGCTGATTATGGTGATGATGACGACGACGACGATGATGATGATGATGATGGTGACGATGGTGACGATGGTGATGATGATGATGGCGATGCTGGCGATGGGCATGATGCTGATGCTCATGTTGATGCTGATGCTGATGCTGATGCTGAAGATGATGATGCTGATGATGATGATGGTGATGATGATAATGATGATGATGATGGTGATGATGATGGTTATGCTTATGATGGCGATGATGACGATGATGACGACGAAGAGGGCATGCGGAGGGCCGAAGCAGGGACGGGAGGAGGCAGGAGGGGGAGGAGGCGGGATGGGACCGCGTGGAGCTGAGGATTCAAAACGAGGATCCAACACCACAAAATGGTTGGGAAAAGACATGATCGACCCACGAACCCGGAAAGGGATTTAGAACTGCCAGGCATGAAAACGTTTCCACGCAACTCCATTGGGCGATGAGCAGTGGCACTGCTGAAGATATCAATGATGATGACACTGTGCCAGGGGCAGTGTTGTACTTCTCTGCGCTGTGCCGCACCGCACAGTGGCGTGCCAGGGGATGCGCCACTGAACGTGCAAGTGGACGTGCCAGGGCATGTGCCAGGGCGCCGCGCGATGTGCCAGGGGGACGCGCCACGGGAGCTGCCCGAACTGACTTGGATCTTGAGCTCGAGCTGCCTGGCGGCCCAACTCGCCCATAGAACGTCGCAAAAGAAGCCATCAACTCGAGCTCAAGGCCCGACTCCATTCCGAAACAGGCTGGGACGACACGGGGCGCAGGGCGCACGTGAACCAAGGAATGCGCCAGCGGCGCCCTCTAGGGGGTGCGCCGAGGGACGCGTCGTGGGACGTGGCAAGGGAACCGCCACGGAACCGGCAGGGAAAGCGCCAGGGGTCAAGCCAAGGAACGCGACGGAGGACGGGCCAGGGGACGCGCCGAGGGGGGAGGGGAATACGAAGTCCTGGGGCGTCATGGCCCCACGCGCTTTCACGCTTGTCCCGTCCTCCGGCGCTAGGAATCCAGGTGTGTTCACGCTGGCCCTGCCTTGGGGCGTTGGGAACCCACATGCTTTCACGCGTGTCCCGCGCTGGGGCGTCAGGAATTCACGCTTGTTCCACCCTGGGGCGTTGGGGGCCCACGTGTTGTCACGCTGTTCCCGCGCTGGAGCGTTACGAATCCATGTGATTTCACGCTGTTCCCGCGCTGGGGCTTTAGGAGCCCATGTGATTTCACGTTGTTCTCGCTCTGGGATTCTAAGAACCCATGTGCTTTCACGTTTGTCCCGCCCTGGGGCGTTAAGAGCCCACGTGTTGTCACACGTGTCCCGCTCTGGGGCGTTAGGAACCCACGCGTGTTCACGCTCGTCCGCTTGTCCCGCTCTGGGGCGTAAAGGACCCTGTGTTTTCACTATGTTCCCGCGCTGGGGCGTTAGGAATTCCATGTGTCTTCACGAGTGTCCCTCTCTGGAGCGTTGGGAACCCACGCGTTTTCACATTTGTCCCGCTCTGGGGCGTTAGGAACCCACGCGTGTTCACGCTCGTCCGCTTGTCCCGCTCTGGGGCGTAAAGGACCTTGTGTTTTCACTATGTTCCCGCGCTGGGGCGTTAGGAATTCCATGTGTCTTCGCGAGTGTCCCGCTCTGGAGCGTTGGGAACCCACGCGTTTTCACGTGTGTCCCGCTCTGGGGAGTTGGGAACCCACTTGATTTCACTCTCTTCCCGCGATGGGACGTTAGGACCCCATGTGTTTTCGCGCGTGTCTCGCTCTGGGGCATCAGGAACCCATGTGTCTTCACGCTTGTCCTGCTTTGGGGCGTCAGGAACCCGCGTGCTTTCACGCTTGTCCCTCTCTGGGGCGTTGGGAACCCACGTGATGTAACACTATTCCCGCACTGGGGCGTTAGGGATCACACGGCGTGTTTTCGAGTGTGCCCCGCCCTGGTGCGTTAGGAACCCAAATGTGTTCACCATGATCTGGTCCTGGGGCATTGAGGACCCCCGTGTTTTCACGCTTGTCCCGCTCTGGAGCGTTAGGAGCCAATGTGGTTTCACGCTTGGCTCTGGGGCATTAGGAGCACAAGTGTTTCCACGCTTGCAATGCTCTGGGGCGGTAGGAACCATGTGTTTTCATGCCCGTCCCGCTGTGAAGCCTTCGCCAAAGCAATATATAGGAACACGCGTAACACGCAAGGATTCGAGCTAAAATGGTGATCCCAGGGCGCGCACCCTGTTTATTTTTTTGCGCGAGAGAGCGAGGAGACACCGAACTCCGTTAGCGGCGAAATACAACAACAGCGGCTCCCGCCTGAGACGTCCTCACAAGGTATTCCCCAAATCGCCTTTTCGCGCGGGACGTCTTCACCATGTATACAGAAATCGCGTTCTCACGTGGGACTTCCACGCCACGCATTCAAACGCCGCGCCCTCGACACTCAGGAATCACGTTCTCGCTGTGGATTGAAACACGCGTTTCGCTCGAGTCGTCCTCAACAAATTCTGTACAACAAGCGTTCCGCTTGAGATATCCAAGCAAAAGAAAAATGCGCACTTCACCATGTGTTTTATCGATCGGAATCTCAAAAATTTGCGTTTCGCTCGGGACATCCTCAGAATTGAATCCGCCGTCCCTACACGACCTTCTCATTCATCGCGGATTAATGCGCAGGCCCCAGAGGAACTTGACACCGGGACAGCTGACCTGCTAAAACAGAACCTGGGGCCTACACCCTTTCCGGGAACATAGAAAGCATTATGCGTCCGACGTGTTTGCATGTCCCATGTTGTGCTCCCTGGATGTCCCAAAATCGTTTCAAGACGGTCCCGTGAGCCCCCGAGATTCTCCAAGACGGCCCCAAGGTGGCCGAAAAAGGCCGCGAGATGCCGTCCAGGATGGCCCAACAAGGCCCCAAGATGCCCCATCACAGGCCCCAAGATGGGCCCCAGCGGCCCCAAGACAGCCCCAATATGATCCAAGATGGCCCGAAGGTGACCCCAAGAACCCAAAGATGCCCACGAGAAGCCCCACGATCATTCACTGATCACTTTCAAACATCTCCTCCTCCTCCTCCTCCTCCTGTTTCTCCTCCTCCAGCTTTCCCTCCGCATCGATATGATCATAACCGTCGTCATTATAATCAGAACCATCATCG